TACCCGGAGGTTATCGGCCGTCACAGGATGAAGCCACGGTAAAAACGTTGCCGAAATTCCACGCGAGGGTCGCCTGGTTACCAAAATGACATTTTCTAAGAGGCGGCGAATCCCTCTGAGCCAGCACAATTCCAGTACAAAGGCTTGTATTTAATGACAAACGCTGTGTGTTGTTTCCTGGCTTTCACCGAGACGGAGAAACAAAAACCCTGTTGAGAATCAACAGACAAAGTCCAGCTGTAAACCACTACTAGCTAGCTGCTCTTACGGAATAGCTAATAACCATCATCTGAGAGCAGGGCCATCATCATCCCTGCATAAAAGATGATACTCATCTGCACAAAGGGATTATATGAATTGTAAGTGCAAACCCATAAAAAATACGAGATACTGAGTGAAAACTCAGGGGAGACAGAACTTAGAAGCCACACATGGAGAAAGGGGCTTTAACGTCAGACAGTGTAGTAAGAGAAATCCAACAGATCTCGTGTCAATAATTGGTGGTTACACTGAATTTTTTTAGTAAGAGCCGAGGAGATATGAGTACCTCTTACAAGCACGATCTGTAACTGCAGAACCAATCTACCACTCAAGCATTTTACTCTACATTTGTACTCCTGCTCCAGCAAGAACAGCACAGAAAACTTTACTCCCCCAAGCCCTAAGAACCAAACCTAAGGCAGCCACCTTCGATGACTTTCCCCATGTTTATTTTTTTCCCCTTATCTAGATTTGTCCCAAGAGAAGCAGCTCATACTTCTGTCAGCTAAAAAAAAAAAAAAAAAAAAAAAAAAAAAAAAAAAAAAGACAGGACAAGAGGGAGCAGAAACGAGGAGCTGACAGTGCAAAGTGATCACTGTTCATACAGAATCCCCACCAAGCACAGTCTGCAAACACCAGCACCTGAAACCCATGTTTTCATGAAACCTGTGTGAAGCAAGAACAGCACCCACAAATGTATCATCAGAGTTGCAGAACCTTTAGTTTCCTTTATGTCTGTCCTTCATTAGAATTCCTTCTTGCTTGAAATTTTACATCAATGACTCAGAAAACAATCCTTTATTTTTCCTGTCATGGTGGGAGCAGTAGGAAAGAATACACAAAACTGATCCATAGAGATAAGAAAAAAAAGTAACAAAATATTTTTGACATTATTTAGAAAATGTATGATCTATAAAATCCGATGAGCCAGAAGCCCTGACCTAGTACATTGCTTCAAGGGGCGAGCAACCTTTTAGGCCTTTTAGTCCTTCAGGTCCTTGATATCCTTAGGAGACCACGGATGCGTCTAACAAGAGCTTGAATAAAGGTGTATCGTGACCGAACCTTAGAATATAACCCTTCGATGTCCAGAAGCTTCTTTTGCAGAGATTCACCAAAGCTGTTCGTGGCTTCAATCTGAAGCTGAGAAACAGAGATTTGTTGCAGTCATCAATACAGAATCTTCCTTCTGGAATGCCAGCTTATCCATCATTAACTGCCTGTCAACCCTTTCACTGTGATTTTCTCTAAGCCACTGTCAAAGGCATGTTTTTTTCTGACTCCCCTAATAAGCACCCTGTGCATCTTCCCCTTATGTTTTTCTCTCTACCTTATTATAATGGAGAACCTTTCTCTGGAGTCCGTTTTTGGGTGACTCAAGAGCATTTACAGTTTATCCAAATATTACCACCTTATAACCTCTCCAAGTTTTAGGAATTAAATTCCTGATTTAGGAATTAAACCGTCTGGTATAATTCAGCTTCTTCAGCTACAGTCATACAAACACTTCTACCAATTAAAATTTTCCCTAGTCCTTCATGGACAGTTTAGGAGTCCATGTGCATAGACAACACTTTTTCATTAACACATATGTAAACAATCCCTGAAAAATAATAATTACATTCTAAGCACCTAGACTCTACCTAACATCTTAGCAAGATGTTACTCTGCATTTTACTTTTGAACAAATTAAATAAAAGGCAGATGACTCATCACAAAAACTACGTACGACTGGTTCTTACAATTCTAGATCTTATAAAGGTACCTGAGACTGCGCAGGTTTTTGAGCAGTTTTTTTCTGTACCAACAATAGCAGAAATGTCAGTGGGATTGATTAATAAAAATGATCTTTTGTTTCCTGCCACCTCTGCATCAAATTTACACAAACTATTAAACCACTGTGTAAGCAGAAATCACTTCTTTGCTAGCATTCACATTTTATGGCCTCCTCGGTTTCTGTTACCCTTTTCAATGTCGTTTCTCTACAGCCTAGCTGCAGCTGACCTGTAGTAAACAGTTACAGGATCACAGAAAATTTGGAATCCTGCCCTGATATTGTGAGTCTTTCAAGGATAACTGGTGTTTTCAGAAAGATGTTATGAAGAAACACATACTGTTTGACTGGTTTAAAAGAGGAAAAAGAATGATTCGTGGTTTTTGTAAGCCTAGCTCATTTTTCATTTAACTTTTTACATTAAGACTTGAAAGTATGTGTGCAGCAGCCCAGCTGCTACCTGCTTCATAATACTTTCCAAAAAAATTTTGCAACGTTTCATTAATCGTAAATTAAGTTATACCCTCTTGGTGTTACCGCAGGTTGTTTAGAGGTGGGAAAACTGCAGTCAGACTGCTCTCAATAGCTGTACGGTCATCAAGCGCATTCGGTACGTTTCGGTAGGCTGTGACATCTCACCTGTTCTATATCATGCTGGCTCACTCGATTCAGTC